AATATATGAATTGTATATCTCAATTTTCAATATAATCTATAAGTCGTGCTACTAAAACTAGTTATAAAATAGCATTTATTATTTTGTTTTGTAAATTGTATTTATTGAGTTTTACTTATTTAAAGTTAATTTTTAATATTATATTTAATGATAGTGATTTATAAAGTCTAATATGTCAATATCGACTTATAAACCTTCTATTTAATTAAATTTATAAGACATGTTCATAATTTGATTTGTAAGTTCATTCTACGTAATATATATATATATATATATATATATATATATATATATATATATATATATATATATATTGTATATAGTTTGTATATAGTTAGTGATATGTTACAAATTTACCTCTAAATTATGGAGAATAAACAAACTTACATTTTATTTAAATTTAATCTTAAATAGTATATCATTGTTGTTGATTCTTGAAATTTGTACTTATAATTTATGAAATCCACTTTTTACCCCTTCAAGTCTTAAATTTTAAAATTATTTTATTTTTGATTAATGCCATTTGTGAGACTACATTATTACCAATGTTATTATTTTCGTAAAACAAGAAAGGAGAAAATATTCAAGTTTGATATTTTTTATTTTTCAAAAATTACACTATTTAAGTTTAATTGAAAATTTATGTTTTATTTTTCTTTAATGAAATTTTATATAATCATTTATAAACTATCTAAAAAATATAATAAGTCATAATATTTGACAATTTAAAATAATTAAAAAACATAAAAAAATTACGATTTAAATTAGACTTATAAAATCTCAAAATGCAAAAATTGTTACCTGAATTCGGACGGAAGAGTAATTACAGTTAGACCAATTTATCCTTTCTAATATTCTCTTTTATTTTAGTCCCATTCGCCGTCGCTTCTCCACGTCTCAACTGCTGACCGGCGACCGGCGACCGGCGGAACAACAAGAAAATTCCCAGCCTATTTTACACGCAGGCCATATTCGACGTGGTTATTATATCCTCCGAAGCAGATCTCCGTGGAAAATACTCTTCACCAGCAACATGTCTAGTAAGTACTCAATTTGCTTGTCTATAATTATTCTCCTTAAATTGATTGACGTTTCCAGTTTTGAGTTTTTGTTTGGTTAAAAACTGTGCGAATTAAGAAATTATAACGGATAGAATGGTGATATTCATGTAAAAAGATTGTTCTTTTACTTTTATCGACCATGTTATAGGCAGTGATTTAATTTAAGCCATCAATATTCATAAAATAGTACTGCTTTGTCTTGCTATCCACTCATACTAGTAGTCATAGTGTTGTTCCTCATAGTTTCTTGTTTTATTATGCTTTCACTTCCGTTACCTTTTTTTTTTCCTGGAGTACTTTGGACTGTTTCTCCATGAGCCGATGATCTATTGGAACAATTTTTTTTACATCCAAGGTAAGGGTAAGGTTTGCGTAGATATACCCTTTCCAGACCTCACTTTATGGGACTACATTGGGTATGTTTGTTGTTGTTGCTGTAAAGTGTGCGCTGTGACTAGCAGATGTGAGTCAGTATTTTTGGTTGTTGATTCTGCTCTCCAGTTGTTTTCTTGCTAACCAATCTGTTTAAATTTGTAGGTAAGACCGACATTGCTTTACCGTTGGATAAGTTGTCTTTGGATTTAATAAAACAAATGGAGGGGCAACTAAGTCCTGAAAAGAGGTAAGTTTAGTATGTGATCTTGGACTAGCCTTTCTACTGTAGTTTTGAGTGTGTGATTTAACGGCTTGTATTGTCATGTCATAGTTTCAATGTTGGCTCACTTGTTTTATAATGCCCATTTACCTTTCGTTCTCCAGAGCTGCCAATTCACAATTGTCATGAATTGTGCTTGTTTATGACAGGAACTGATATTAAGCTTCCGAAATGTTAGTTATCACCCTTTTTTTTTTAAAGAAATGTTTTGTTATTTATGTTGGGAAGGGGTATAGGTCAATCACCATAATGGACAAGATTATTACAAGGAAGTGAAGTTGAGTGGTTTCCAAGTCTACTTTCCAATGTGGAGACTCTCACAACTGAAGTAGTGTTGTAATACTTCCATGGTATATTGTAAGGCATAAATAAAAAAGTGAAAAAAAGCAAGACCTGAATATACATACTTGCCAACGTAGTTAGCTTTATTATGGATTTTATTATATTATTTATTTTTTACCCTTCTTCCTCTGATTCTATCCCTGCTGTAGATACTTGCTAACTCTCTCTTTCTTACTAGGAAAAGGACATATGCAGTTCTTGTATCAACAGGAAGTTTCAATCCTCCAACTTATATGCACTTGCGCTGTTTTGGTAAGTACTATCTAACCTCTACTATGTTTCCCCGCTGAGCTTTTTTCTTCTTTTTATCCCTTTATTCTCTATTAGGGGAGGGAGGGAGGGTTGTGGGACTGAAGCAGGTGTATTTGCGTGTGTGCCAACGAGAAGAATCTTCCATATTTTTCTTCTATTTAGATGAAAGCAGCAAACCATATATAGTCTTAAGTCCTCCAGCACATAAGCTGCTCAGAGTTAATATGTTGTTAGAATATGAAGTTTATTTAATCTGTTTATCGGGTGTTGCTAAACTTTTGGTGATATTAATTCAGAGTTGGCAAGAGATGCATTGACTTCAGAAGGAATTTGTGTGATTGGAGGTTACATGTCACCTGTAAATGATGCATATAAGAAGAAGGTATTTAGCATATCTCCAGCAGTGAAGCTGCTAAAAATGAGTAATTGGAAGTAATTAAAAGAAAACATGTACTACTAGCTTTACTATATAATCACTTTCTTCTGATCCATCTCATTTTGGATTATGAATCTTAGTCTATGTTGTTTCTGGTCTGGGACCTGAAATTTCTTTATACTAGTGCATCCTGTTCTTAGTCATGATGTTTTGTTTCTTAGTTTCTTTAGCATTTATACTGGTCAAATATATATTATTAAAAGAAATTGAACATGCTTTATATCTTGTGTCAATGTTACTGACACGCAAAAAATGATCCTTCCTAATTTATTTGCTCCTTGTTTTTGCAGAATCTTATATCTGCTGAGCATCGTGTTGCAATGTGCCAGTTAGCCTGTAAAAGCTCAGAATTTGTTATGACGGATCCCTGGGAGGTCTCTCTCTAACTACTTATCTCTTTCTCCTCCTCCTCCCCTCCAGAAAAAAATATCCCCAAAACCTCCCTTTTTAGTGTGAGTAATAAGGTCTAGTTTTATAATCGATGTATTTACACCACTGCTGCAGTCTGTGATAAACTAACTTTCCTTAATCCTGCCAATGGACAATGATTTTTCTTGTATTATTTGTGCAGGCAAGTCAGGATAGCTATCAACGAACATTGACGGTTCTCTCCAGAATAAAAAGCGCTATCAGTGGTGGAAGTTTGACATCCACCAGTAAGATCCACAACTGCCTTGAGTCGATCTGTGTTGGAATAGTGTTGATAGGAATTTATGGCCAATGGTTAATAAGAAACTTGCAAACTTCCTGAAACCAGCTTTTTTCTTTATGATAACGATTCTTTCTTTTTCTTGGTAATTAGACTTTTCATTAATCACCAAAGTGCTGAATTACAAATCTATAGAATGGCCAACACAGCCAGCTATCTCAAAGAAAACCAACTAGTCCACCTAACACAAAGGAACTCAAGAATACCATGTAGCAAAGGCCTTAATAGGCAGCTAGAAAGAAAACTTGTTCAAAGATTCCACTTACCGTAAATCAATGTGCATGTAAGTTACTACTTAATAAACTACTTATTACTTGGTCGCTATGCAACCCTAAGAAACTGTGCAAAAGTGAACATGCCATTCTATCTGTAAGGGAGGGAATAGTTGGTTAACATTTTAAATTTGCATTATCTATCCAAGTGAAATTGTTTTAAAGCTATTGTAAATTACGAAGTTCCATTCAAGTTCTAAACACTGGTTATTTTTCTTTCAGATGACCTCATGGTTACGCTGGTATGTGGTTCTGATCTGCTAGAATCTTTCAGCACACCTGGTGTTTGGATACCTGAGCAGGTAAAGTAATAACCTCCTTCACGTTGCACTGAAATTATGCAATATGTTCATCTGTTGGTTTTCTAGGTCAGGGCCATATGTAGAGACTTCGGCTTGGTTTGTATCCGAAGAAGTGGCCAGGATGTTGAAAAAATCATCACTGGTGACGAAATTTTGAATGAATATAAGGTAACTTCGTTTAGAACTCCATATCCTAGTCCGTTGTTCTCTCATTTCAGATGATCGACTGTTATACAGCGTCACTAGTAGTCGTACTAAATATTATTGAAATGTTAGCATGCCAAAATTCACAGACAGCTTCACACTTCCCATCCTCTTCTATATTGTCGAAGAGACATGTAACATACGGTATACTCATGTAAAATTGCAGAAGAATATCCGAGTCGTGGATGAAGTAGTACCAAACGGAATCAGTTCAACGGGACTAAGGTAAAAAAATCATCGATCTGACTAGCTAGAATGACATGAAATGAATCTAGAGTAAAAATGGTGTACAAGCTAAATTTTTTTTCTTATGTCAGGGACTGCATCTCAAAAGGGTTATCAGTGAAATACTTGACAGCTGATGAAGTAATTGATTATATCAAACAACACAATCTTTACAAAGGGCAATGATCCAACAACTGACTCCAATTATAATTTTTTTTAAAAAAATAAAGTGCAAGTACATATCCTACTTCATGTGATTAAGAACACACATAAAACCCAAGTTCTCTTTAAAAGTGCATCTATATATGAAGCGTCCACTTGAGACTTCACTAGATATGTTATTGTTCTGTGGTTATAAATAAAGCACGATTGCCTAGTCGCTTGCTATGACTGTTCAGACTCTTCAAAATGTCACTAAATGCATCACAACAGATCAAATACAGGTACGACAACATTTAAGAAGAGTCTTGAGTAATCATAGCTCGATTCTTTTTGCAAGAAGAAGAAAGTGAGACTATAAGCATCATACAACAAACACAAGGAAATTATAAACACACGTTTATTTATTATACAAAACACAGGTAGCTTACTAGTACATAACATAAAGTTCTTAACACAGGTGGCTTATTAGTACATAAACATAGAGTTCTTAACAAGGAAACTTGAAAACACAAACATACTGTTACTCCAGGTAGAGTTCAAACGATAAAACATACTCAAAAACATTATTCTTCCATACTGGAATATACCACAACACAACGCCACCTGCTTGTTCACATCATCAGTCTACTATCCCAACTGTCTAAATGGATAAGCAGGCATAACAATTGAAGTAGAAGCCTCAGAAGGACTACCATCATTCTCCGCGGCCATCTCAAAGTCCCTATAAATTTTAGATACAGTAAAATCAATTGATCTTTCAGTAACGCTATTATTCATTTTCAAACTCATTCTAACGCGATATATTTACCTAGAAGTTACCAAGGCAGCAGTAACAGGATCATAAAACAACACATTTGGTGGGAAATGCGGGTATGGATAACCCGGGATGGGTTCATTAGGATGGGGCTTGCGCACGTTGTAATAACTCACTGAATTATATTCATGATACCTGTTGAGGTATTGGGCTAAAAGCCTAGCATGGATAGTCAGGCCCATATTGATCATGGCCCAAAGTATATCCTCAGCTGTCACAGTCTTTCGTCGCTCCATATTGCAACGTTCCTTAGCCTTTTTTGTGATACGATTGATATAGTAGCTCCCTAATTTTTGCATAGACTCTTTTGATCCATCGTTGATTTTCGCGTTCGTTGGAAGGATACCGCGCATGATTCTCGTCAAGTTCGCCATCGGGAGTTGCACTTCCAACAGACGTCGAGCTAGCTGATCCACCCCTGTGTTGACGTTGGTCATGTTGTTTACACCTTTTATACAAAAAAAAAAGGTGTATATAAGCTTACAAGATTTTAGCTATATATATATATATATATATATATATGAGCTTAAGATAAAGGAAAATGTTAATTGGATCATATATGACTTAATCAACATGAGTATTAAAATAGTAGAAGGACATAATTATATATATATATATATATATATATATATATATATATATATATATATATATATATATGAGATATTTTTTGTTTGTTTAGTAAGAAAAAGACGAAAAAAGTAACTGAAACGAAGACTTTCATAAGCATCCCAAGAATACAAACAAATAATTTCTTTTGTAAAAAATAATCATAAAATAAAAGAAATAAAATGTTACTGTAGAAAACATGAATCCCGTGATTCATCAAAGAAAAAAAAAGAAGAAGAAGATGACACACCTTTTGATGATATTGTTGATGAAACAATTTTTTTAATTATGGTTTAGAAAATTAGAAAAGAAAATTACAAAAATTTGAAAGGTAAATTCATGAGAAAAAATGTTAACAAATCACAAAAATTTGGTATACTCAATCAACACAAACAAAATTATCTATAAGGAATTTTTTAGCGGTAGAATAGAAAAAAAAAGTGTTGAACCGCTTAACGATGATAAAAGTTGTTTTGTTTAAAAAAATAAATTAAATCATATAGAATTATCAATCCAAAATTTATTAGGGCAGAAAACTAGAAAATGAAGTGGTTTAGGAAAAAAAAGAAAGAAAAAAAACAAAATTGCCAAATCATTTAAATCTTAAATCACAGAAAACAAGAAAATGAAGTGTTTAGACAAATCAACAACTCTGATTTTTTATGTAGTCTCATCAATCAATCTAATCACACATGAGATATTCGATGTTTTTGAAACATAAATTGACAATAGAAGAAAAGAAGAAAAAAATTACCTGAAGTTGGAGCATAATCCATGTTTTTTCATCAAATTATTTTTGTAACTGAGGTACTTTCAATTTATTTTGATCTTTTTATAGTTGTGACTTGTGAGTGGTGTGGTTTCAGTCGTTACAAAGTACTTAAGTTTATATAATCTCTTATTAACAACTTTTTCTTCCGCCAATAAAAAATTTTATTTTATTTTATTTTATTTTTATTTTATTTATTTATTTTTAATCATACCCCATTTTAATTTTTTTTATTGTTTCTTTTGGTGTTTTTTAATTTGTTACATTTTGCATGTTTACTAAATAGTGACACCAAGGCAATAAAAACGTCCTTCCAAAATAAATAATGAGATTATTTCCTGAATTTTCTCAAACTTTTCTTTTTCATATATGCAAAGAAAATCCATAATTTCAAATTATCTTTTATTTGAATTTTGAGATCGATTGGTGTTTGATATACATTTTAGAGTCTTGATTTATTTTGATTCGCATTGCATAATGCTTCATAATTGAAGAAAAAAATGCTTCACATTAGGAACTTTTTATCATTCTCATGTCCAGATATCGAATCTTAGACCTCTAATTAGGATAAAACTAAGAATCCTATAAACAATGATGTAGCTATAAATAATGAAGGGTGTGATCAATTGAATATCTTTTGCTGAAGAATTATATATCATGTAGGTAGAAAATTATACTCAAGATTTATGTTTGATATGATGAATGATGTTTTTCAAGAAAAATATTTATTAAGAAAATAATTGATTTTATCAAACAACACAATCTTTATAGAGAGCAATGATCCAACAACTGACTTCAACTGTAACTTTTTTTTAAAAAAAAAAATAAGTGCAAATACATATCTTACTTCATGTGATTAAGAACACACATAAAACCCAAGATCTCATTAAAAGTAGATCTATATATGAAGCGTTCACTTGAGACTTCACTACATATGTTGTTGTTCTGTGGTTATAAATAAAGCATGATTGCCTTGTCGCTTGCTATGATTGTTCAGACTCTTCAAAATGTCACTAGATGCATCACAACGGATCAAATACAGGTACGACAACATTTACGAAGAGTCTTGAGTAATCATAGCTCGATTATTTTCACAAGAAGAAGAAAGTGAGACTATAAGCATCATACAACAAACAAAAGGAAATTATAAACACACACATTTATTTATTATACAAAACACAGGTAGCTTACTTGTACATAACATAAAGTTCTTAACACAGGTGGCTTATTAGTACATAAACATAGAGTTCTTAACAAGGAAACTTAAAAAAAAAACACAAACTTGAAAACACAAACATACTGTTACTCCAGATAGAGTTCAAACGATAAAACATACTTAAAAACATTATTATTCCAATTGGAATATACCACAACACAACGCCACCTGCTTGTTCACATCATCAGTCTACTATCCCAACTGTCCAAATGGATAAGCAGGCATAACAGTTGAAGTAGAAGCCTCAGAAGGACTACCATCATTCCCCGTGGCCATCTCAAAGTCCCTACAAATTGAGAGACAGTAAAATCAATTCATCTTTCAGTAACGCTATTATTCATTTTCAAACTCATTCTAATACGATATATTTACCTGGAAGTTACCAGGGTAGTAGTAACAGGATCATAAAACAACATGTTTGGTGGGAAATACGGGTATGGATAACCCGGGACGGGTTCATTAGGATGGGATGCAGCGAGTGGATTGACATTTAATTCACAATTGGGCTTGCGCACGTTGTAATAACTCACTGGATTATATTCACGATACCTGCTGAGGTATTGGGCTAAAAGCCCAGCATGGATAGTCAGGCCCATATTGATCATGGCCCAAAGAATATCCTCAGTTGTCACAGTCTTTCGTCTCTCCATACGTTCCATAGCCTTTTTTGTGATACGATTGATATAGTAGCTCACTAATTTTTGCATAGACTCTTTCGATTCATCGTTGATTTTCGCGTTCGTTGGAAGGATACCGCGCATGATTCTCGTCACGCTCGCCATCGGGAGTTGCACTTCCAACAGGCGTTGAGCTAGCTGATCCACCCCTGTGTTGACGTTGGTCATGTTGTTTACACCTTGTATACAAAAAAAAAAGTGTATATAAGCTTACAAATTTTAGCTATATATATGAGCTTAAGATAAAGGAAAATGTCAATTGGATCATATATGACTTAATCAACACGAGTATTAAAATAGTAGAAAGACATAATTAATTTTTGGATATATATATATATATATATATATATATATATATATATATATATATATTTGCTCTAGATTAGTATTTAAGATTACAAATTAAAAAAAATTATATTTAAAAAGCGTGTGTACACTTGCTTGAACATAACGCGTGATACCAATTGAGTTTTAAGAAAAATTCTCGTAAACTGTTAAATTCACGCGCTATCTTCAAGCAAATGTACACGCGCCTCTCTGATTTTTTGTTGTTGTGCTCGTATAGATAAGTTGAAACGTGATCCTTGATATGAAGCAATAAAATTACAATAAAGAATTTCGACTGAATACGTTAATTTAGTAACAAATTTAATTTAATTTAAGTACGATAGAGTATAGAAAATAATTATATATTATAAATTATTACCGTACAGAGATAAAATCAATTTAAATATCATCACATTTATGTTAATTAAGTAAGAAAAAGAATATCAATTAATAAATTAACATAGCACATAACTAAATCAATATAAACATCAATATGCTAAATTAAAAGGCTGATCATATATAGAATTTAGTTTTCTCCGTTTCTTACTCATTTGCTTTTTCTTTTAAGAATTATGTGATGCTATTTTTTTTTATTCGGTGTCTCAAGTCACGTTAAAATTTCTGCTAAACTTAAATTACATATTGCTAGGCCTATTCTGAGTGACGCTCCCAATAATGCCAAAAATATAGTCTTTCTAATTTTCACTTCATGTTTAAGAGGTTTTTTTTTGTTTGTTTAGTAAGAAAAAGACGAAAAAAGTAACTGAAACGAAGACTTTAATAAGCATCCCAAGAATACAAACAAACATAATTTTTTTGTAAAATATAATCATAAAATAAAAGAAATAAAATGTTACTGTAGAAAACATGAATCCTGTGGTTCTTCAAAGAAAAAAAAGATGAACACAACTTTTGATGATATTGTTGATGAAACAATTTTTTTAATTATGGTTTAGAAAATTAGAAAAAGAAAATTACAAAATTTTGAAAGGTAAATTTATGAGAAAAAATGTTAACAAATCACAAAAATTTGGTATACTCAATCAATACATACAAAATTATCTATAAGAAATTTTTTAGCAAGTCGAATAGAAGAAAATTTAAGTAGAAAAAAAGAAGTGTTGAACCACTTAACGATGATAATTTTTTTTTTAAATAAATTAAATCATATAGAATTATCAATCCAAAATTTATTAGGGCAGAAAACTAGAAAATGAAGTGGTTTAGGCAAAAAAAAAAAGAGAAAGAAAAAAAAGCAACCACCATCACGATAATTTTTTAGAAAAATTAACTCAGATTTGATATACAGGTCGATAGATTCATAAGACATTAAATTTTTTTAAAAAAAATCAGATAGGAAAAAGGTGAATAGATTATAAAAAATTTAGAAATGAAATACACGCAACACAGCAAATTCATTCTTTTTTCTTGGTCATGAAAATAAAATTATCAAGTTAATTCAATCTTAAATCGTAGAAAACAAGAAAAAGAAGTGTTAAGGCAAAACAACACTAACACTGCCAATCTTTTATTTAGTCTCACCGATCGATCCAATCACACACGAGATATTCAACTTTTTTAGAACACAAATTCATGACCGAAGGAAAGAGCGAAAAGATTATCTAAACTTGACCGGAAAAAAAAGAAGAGAAAAAGTGCAATCACAACTATTATCATTTTTAAAAAAAATCAAATCGTCATTTAATTTGCATGTCGATACATTAAATCTTTTGAAAAGATAAAATCTAGTAGGAAAAGGGTGAAACGATTACAAAAACTTGAGAAATGATATACACACAACCTACAAAATTCAACATTTTTTTGGTCATGTAAACAAAATTGCCAAATCAATTAAATCTCAAATTACAGAAAACAAGAAAATGAAGTGTTTAGACAAATCAACAACACAAATTTTTTATGTAATCTCATCAATCAATCTAATCACACATGAGACATTCGATGTTTTTGAAACATAAATTGACAATAGAAGAAAAGAAGAAAAAAATTACCTGAAGTTGGAGCATAATCCATGTTTTTTCTTCAAATTATATTCTGAACTGAGGTACTTTCAATTTATAGTTGTGACTTGTGAGTGGTGTGATTTCAGTTGTTACTCAGTACTTAAGTTTATATAATCCCTTATTAACAACTTTTTCTTCCACCTATAAAATTTTATTTTATTTTATTTTTATTTTATTTATTTATTTTTAATCATAACCCACTTTCACTTCTTTTTTTTTATGTTTCTTTTGGTGTTTTTTAATTTGTTACATTCTGCATGTTTACTAAATAGTGACACCAAGGCAATAAAAACGTCATTCCAAAATGAATAATGAGATTATTTCCTGAATTTGTTCAAACTTTTCTTTTTCATATATGCAAAGAAAATCCTTAAACTCAAATTATCTTTTATTTGGATTTCGAGATCGATTGGTGTTTGATATATATTTTAGAGTCTCGGTTTATTTTGATTTGAATTGCATAATGATTCTCAATTAAAGAAAAAAATGCTCCACATTAAGAATTTCTTATCATTCTTATGTCCAATATCGAATCTTAGACCTCTAATTAGGATAAAACTAAGGATCCTATGAACAATGACGTAGCTATAAATAATGAAGGATGTGATCAGTTGAATATCTTTTGCTGAAAAATTATATATTATGTAGGTAGAAAATTATACTCAGAATTTATGTTTGATATGACGAATGATGTTTTTCAAGAAAAATGTTTATTAGGAAAATAAGTGAGTTTTTCTTTTTACTTATTTTCTTAAATTTAATAAGTAAGCGAATATAATATTATCTTAAAACATTTAATTTAGACAAGTCCTATGAAATGTGAAGGAGGGGTGAGTGCATAGGTGGGGGGGGGGGGTGAATTAATGAGGTGTGTCGAAGGGTAAAAAGGTATAATCAGTGCTAAATGTAATTTACGGAACTTTTTTTTTCTATTTCCACTAGGAAAAATATTTTCTTCATTTTGAAAAAAGAATATTTCTTAAAAGAATATTTTTAAAAAATTATGATTAATCAAACATGATTAATTTTTTAAAAAATTTTCGTTCGTACTAAACACACCCTAAGTATACATGCGCCACATGTGCATATACCAAGTTTTGTTAATTTATCTAGAATTTAGCGATGAAACAAGTGATTATTAGTATAATCACTAAATTCTATACACAAATTCAGATGTTAATTAAACTTTTGGATCCAATATATAATAATATGACTTACTTTATTATATAACTTTTTTGAGTTAAATTACACTACTTATATTTAGTTTATGTGGAGTTTAAAAGTTAACAAGCTTCTAAAAAGTTACATTCATATTTCATTTAATATCATAACAAATTAAGAACGATTCAATTAAACGATTTGTATTATTTTTATGCTAGGTTAACTTAACATGTAAAAATTCTCGACAATATAGGTTAAAATAGTACGGACGTAAAAACAACTTAAAAATCACTACGCGTGATTATCAAATGATTGACCATACAAATTAACGAATCAGTACTCGTGATTATTAAATGGTTGACCGCACAAATTAAATTGTACGAAAAAACACAGTTCTTATCAAGTAAGAAGAGATAGTAAAAATATCAGTCACGTGGGCTAATATATTATAGAGTTCACGCTCTTAAAACAAGTTACATACATGCGCCGCCAATGTTTTCTTAGGGTGTGCTCATATAGATAATTTGAAAACCTAATCGTTGACATGAAGTAAAAATCTCGATTATATAAGTTAATAAAGTATAGAAAAAAATTGCGATAGAATAAATTAATTAAGTACCCGAATAAAATTAAAATTAATTTAAATATAGGTACATTAATTAAGTTAATAAAGACGTAAAATTCGATATGCAAAATATAATCACAAATTTAAACATTACTACGCTAAACTAAAAGTTAATCATACAAATTAACTACGTCATATTTAAACATCAGTAATGTAGAATCAAAGGTTCATTAAAGAAAATATATTTAAGTCTAAGATTTAAACATTGTTTACCCTTGCCCTAAATAATTTCTTACATATTTGAATTATTAAAAAAACTATACTATAGTTACAGATAAACCTTTTTAAATGTACAATTGATGTTTTATTTTTTTTAAAATAAGATATGTTACTTGCTAAAATAAGTAATATAAGTTTGAACGGTATAAATATTTTTTAAAAAAACAATCTATTTATTACTTAAACTTTGATTATCTCTTCCGTTTCTACTTTCAATAATAAATTTTTTTCTTTAATAGTTCATCTTTTGTAGTGTTTTTTTATTATTTTATTCATTTCATACCATTTACTGAAAAATCGAGATTTTCCCAAAAATAATTTCTTTATGAATTAAAAATAACAATTAAATATATGTATACCTCATCCTTTTTAATTAAATTTCATTTGAGTATTTTACTAACTCATAAGGTTTCTATATTTATGATAAACATAAAAGTTTAAAAAGTACTTTTAAACAAAAGTTTCGCTTTATCTTATACTTTTATATTACAATTTCATATTATGATTTTAAATTATAATTTCATTACTTAGTTTTCTCCGGAAATTAATTTTCTAAAGCTAGTCAAACCGATCTTTCTTCTCAATTTGTCTTATACCCCTTTTCTCATAAATCAAATAAATGCCAAAATATTAGTTTTTCTAATTTAACTTTTTGTTTAAGATGTTGTTTTTATTTTTAAAATAATAGATGAAAAAAGAAACTGAAACAAAGACTTTGAAGTTATTCAGAATCCCGAGAATAAAAGGCTAAAATAATTTCAAACAAAAAGAAAGAAAAACTCAAACGTAACTACATAAAACAAATTAACATGTAGATCATACCGTATTATTTTAATTAATACAATATTTGAATATATTATATATTATTTTTCATCGTTAAATAATGTCTCACATTCATATTTTTAAAATGACAAACCTACAAAAACAAAAGGATACGGATAAGCAACCATGTGATTTGAATGAGAAATATTCTATAAGATAAAATTATTATGAAAAGATAGGATAAAACGATGAAATATGATTATTTAGGAAATAGTAAAGTAACGATGCGATCACACCTAATCGCTCGTTATATAAAACAGGTCTTTTCATTGTTAACTAACAATGAATTCAAACGACATAACCAACAATCTAATCAAACCAAACATTATTACAATACGACCATCCAAATTGAACATGGTGTTTTAATGCTTAACAATTCAAATTAAGTTCAATTTTCACTTATTAGCTAGTTGTTTTTGGACTTGTCTCAAAGAGTAGAAAAATGAATAACAGCATTAGCTCCTTCAGCCATGGCATGTTTAGCTAGTTATCCTGGCAACTCCATTTTGACAGCTCTATGCATGTTCATGAACGTTAACGTTGTTCGTCCCGAGTACCTCAACAATGATTTTGATGTGTTAGGAGGGTAAGGAAGTATAATCAGTGTTAAATGTAATTTACAAAACTTGTTTTTTCTATCTCTACTAGGAAAACATGTTCGTTTTTAAAAAAAAATCTTTCTCAGAAAAATACTTTTAAAAATTATGATCAACCAACCATGATTATTTTTTTTAAATATTTTCCTTCGTACTAAATATACATGCACCACATGTGCATACACCAAGTTTTGTTAATTTAACCCCACGAGAATTTAGTGATAAAACAAGTGATTATTAGGAAACCAAATCTTATACTTCATATAAATCAAAATTTGAAGTGTAAGTATAGTTACTAAATTGTATACACTAAAATTTAGATGGTAATTAAACTTTTGGATCCAATATATAATAATATCAGTTACTCTATTGTAGATGATTTTTCTCCTATTTATAGGTAAAGAGGTTATTTCCGATTAAAGAATACTACTATATTTAGTTTACATGGAGTCTAAAAGTTAATAAGCTTCTAAAGAAGTTACATTCATATTTTATTTAACATCATATACAAATTAAGAAGAAGAATTTGTATTATTTTTATGCTAGGTTAACTTAATGTATGTAAAAGTTCTCAATAATATAAGTTAAATAGTATGGTCATGATTAGTTTGCGTGATTATTACACAATTGATTGTACAAATTAATTAAATTCTGAGAAAATAAACACAATTTTAATGTAGAACATACAGTAAAAATATCAATCACGTGGCCTCATATATTGTGGAGTTCACGCTCTTAAAACAAGTTACATACACGCACCCTCAATTTTTTTTATGGCGTGCTCATGTAGATCATTTGAACCTAATCGTTCACATGAAGCGAGAATTCGATCATATAAGTTAATGAGAAACAGAAAAAATCTCAATCGTATAAATTATTTTAGTATGTATAAAATAAAATTAAAATTAATTTAAATATAAGTACATTTTAAGTTAATAAAGACGTAAAGATTGATATTTAAAATAAAATTATAAATTTAACCATCAATATGCTAATCTATAAGATGATCATACAAATTAACTACGTCATATTTAAACATCAGTAATGTAGAATTAAAGGTTCATCAAAGAAAATATATTTAAGTTTAAGATTTAAACATTGTTTACCCTTGCCCAAAATAATTTCTTGCATATTTGATAAAATAGGTAATATAAGTTTGAATGATATAAATATTATTTAAATATCGATTTATTTATTACTTAAACTTTTATTATTTCTTCTATTTCCACTTTCAGTAGTAATATTCTTTCTCTAATAGTTCATCTTACGTAATTTTTAAAGATTTTATTCGTTTCATACCATGTGCCGAAAAGTCAAAGTTTTCTCAAAAATAATTTCTTTATAAATTAAAGATAACAGTTAAATTTATGCGTATATCTCGTTCATTTTAAATTTTATTTGAGTATTTTGCAACTTATGAGATTTCATAAATCTAAATAGTATGTTTACACAAAACTTCAGCTTTATCTTATACTTTTACATTATAATTTCATATTATGATTTTAAATTATAATTTCATTTCTTGGTTTTCTCCTCGAAATTAATTTTCTAAAGGTAGTCAAAGGCATCTTTCTTCTCAATTTGTCTTATACCCTTTTTTTCATAAATCAATTAAATGCCAAAATTTTAGTTTTTCTAATTTAACTTTTTGTTTAAGATGTTGTTTTTAAAATAATAGACGAAAAAAATAACTGAAACAAAGACTTTGAAGTTATTCAGGATCCCGAGAAGAAAAGGCTGAAATAGTTTCAAACAAAAAGAAAAGAAAAACTCAAACGTAACTACATAAAACAACAAATTAACACGGTTATAATTTTAATTATTATAATATTTAAATATATTATATATTATTTTTTTATCGTTATATAATGTCACATATTCATATTATTAAAATGATAAACCTAAAAAACAAAGGATACACATATAGAGCAACTACTTAATTTGAATGATAAATATTCTACAAGATAAAAGTAGGGTATGGGGTAAAGCTACTGTGAAAAAAGATAAAAGATAAAAAAATGAAATATGATTATTTAGGAAATAGTAAAGTAACGACGCGATCACACCTAATCGCTCGTTATATAAAACAGGTCTTTTCATTGTTACCTAACAATGAATTCAAACGACATAACCAACAATCTAACCAAACCAAACATTATTACAATACAACCACCCAAATTGAACAAGGTGTTTTAATACTTAATAATTCAAAATTAAGTTCAATTTTCACTTATTTAGCTAGTTATTTTTGGACTTGTCTTAATGAGTAGAAAAACGAATAACAGCTTTAGCTCCTTCAGCCATGGCATGTTTAGCTAGTTGTCCTGGCAACTCCATTTTAACAGCTCTATGCATGTCCATAGACGTTAACGTTCTTCGTCCCGAGTACCTCAACAATGATTTTGATGTTTCTACAATTTTCTCAGCCATGTCTTGCATGAAATGGTTCAATATAACCATTGATCTTAATGATATTTCCAACTTTGGATTCACTTCTTTCATAACCTTGTAAATGTACCTCTCATATCCCACAGCTTTGCTTCTCTTGTTCTTGTTCTTGTTCTTGCTCTTGCCTTTGCTCATGCAAAATTATCAACAATAACATAAAATTAGTCATTTTTTAAAACTACTAATCACACATGAGAACATTTGATTTCTTAGAACATACATTAATTTTTGGTAGAAAAGGGTGAAAACATTAAATGGTTTAAGCCTCAAAAAGAGAAGAAGAAAACCTACACACAAAAATTAATCATAGTCATTTTATTTTTTTTTTGTTTACTCACGATCTAGTCTAATCGATCTATCTAATCATATACGAGACATTCAATTTCTGGTAACACAAAATTCATGGTAGAAAAAAAAATAATAACATTAATTTAAGTGGTTTCAGCCTAAAAAAAACAATGAAAATCATAGTCATTTTTTCTTCTTTTTTATTTTTACTCATTGATCTAGCTAATTAATCAACACGCTTAGACATTCAATTTTTTAATTAAAACATAAATTCATGGTAGAAAAAAAAAATTGGTAAAACCCTAATCAAGTGGTTTAAGCTTCAAAGAAAAGAAGAAAAAATAATAATAATGAAAATCATAGTCATTTTCTATTTTTGTTTACTCATAATCATTTAACTAATCACATATAAGACATTCAATTTCATAGAACATAAATCATGGTAAAAAAAAAAAAAACTAATTCAAGAAGCCTAAAAAAGGGGGGGGGGGGGGGGGGGGAATGAAATCGCGATTTTTATTTATCTACTCTGACCGATCTAATCATACACGAGATATTCGATTCCTTACAACATAAATTCATGTTTAAAAAAATTAAAGTGATTAAAAGTACCTGAACTTGAAGCTTGTTTCATGGTGTTCCTCCCTGACATTTTTTTTTTAAGCTTAATTAGAGTATTTTATTTGGAGTTTAATGTTGGGGTTAACATTATATATAGCTCACTTAAGTTCATATTAGGAAAAACTTTTATAAGCACTTTTTTTCCCCCACAATTAGATAAAAACAAATTTTATTAATTAGGTGATCACATTAATTTCATTTTTTTTTTGTTTTTCTTGTTCTTTCATTTGTACGTTACGTTTTGCATTTATTTTTTATGGAATAAAAAATTTCTTCCAAAAGTAATAATTACATTTTCCCTCAACTTGCTTTTAACTTTCTACATAATTCAAATAATTAACTCTTGTGTTTGAAACCTTTTTTGTTTATTTGTATAATTTTTACCGTAATATTTATTTTAGAGTGTTGACTAATTATATTGTATAAAACCTTTTCAAGGGAAAATGTTTTTTCATTCTCGATTTAGATCAAATTTAGAATTAGTGTGAAGAGTAATTCATTAAACATTAGTGTATGTAGAAAATTTTACGGAGCTTTGTAATTCGATGTTAAAGAAGATGTTTTTTATGAAAAGTATTTCTAGAAAAATAAAAGATAAATTCTTATCTATTTTTATTTTTGTTTAATAGGTTAGAAAAAAGAATTTTATCCCGAAAATATTTAATTTAAAGTAATAATATAAAAGCTAAGTAAAGGAAGTCATTTCCAAATTTTAAGGATTTTCTGAAGAAAAAAAAGTTTAAATTTATGTCCAATCAAATACGAAAAATTGAAAAATATTTTATATATATAAAAAAAGCCGTCCATAGCAAACATATCCTAAGTGTACACACACATAGATATACATATACATATATATTAAATCGTGAACACTCGTAACTTAATCTTATCTATTTTACCATAACATTCGTTGCATACATCAAATTTGGTCAATTTAACTCCACGAGCATTTGCACCGACAAAATAAGTGACTTAGTTTTCTTTATTTTGATCCTTTTATCGCCTTTATTCTAACAACACATTTAGTATAATTTTAAAAGTAAAAATTCTAAAAAATAAATCGTGTATAAAAAAGAATTCTCAATAATCATGAGATAAAGAATTAATTTTTGATATACCATAGTTAAAATAAAAATAAGCTACAACCAAGTAATCGTGCAACATATATATATGTTTCGTGAGTTAAATTACATTATTACTCGATCATGTAATCTGACTCCATTTAATTAGGATACACATATATGTATTTAATAAAGTAAAACACTTATATTAATTATGTATTTGCTTTTGAAATCTGTGTTTTTGGTCATGTTTTCTAAGAGCAATTATTAATTACTTTATTTACCTATTTTTAATTGTCATATTACACTATTTTAAAAGTCAGTTTAACTAATTTTTAAAGTTAAATTAAATTACATTAGTTTGATATTTTTATACAAAAAAGTTAAATATTAAAAAACTATACGAAAACTAGTACCTTAATTATCATTATTTTGCATATCAATATGATGAGAAAATACATCGTAAAATATTAATCAAAATTATTACTCCTTCCGTCCACTTCTTTTTTGGTCATGTTATGTTTTTCGAAAGTTAATTTGACTAAATGTCAAAGTTATATATTATGTTAATTCAATATTTTCTTTTATGTGCAACCAAATTTGAAAAAGCGTCAATATAATCACTAAATTATGTACACCAAATTCAGATGCTAATTTCATTTAGTAGGATAAGTTAATCAACTTTTTTTTATTACATAAAACTTTGTTGAATTAAATTACAACATGGTTTTTCGATCGGGAGAATCCAACAATTTATCTTCTCTGTGTGGATTTACAAGCTATTACACGCTATTACACGGAGAGTGATTTACCTTACGAACAGTAGAAGAGTAGCAGCTGCAATTCTCGTCATAAAAAAAAATCAAAATAATTCCACGAGTAGGGTCTAAGATATACAATTATAAGAGTCATAAGATGGATAAAATAATTACAGATATCAAATTTAGATCAATTATGATTACATTAGTTCCAAGAATAGATTAAGAAAGAAATGAGAGCTTTAAAACTTTAGACTTAATAAATACCAAAAAATGGGTTTAGCAATTTCAGTTTTCTAATCAATAACCAGACTGAGTGTATTAACTATCAAAATTCACCCAGTCTCCACATATTAACATTTTTTTTTTCCCCAGGGTGTTTGCTACAAAAATATTTACAATAGTTTCTGTATAGACCTGAAGATCACCTTACATTAATTACAGTTCTGGGTTTTCTACCGTTGGACCGTTTTCGCGATGGAATTACGCCATTAAGACATTCATATTTCCTTTTGAATGAGCCATTACTTAGATCCCCATCATAGCTTCTGTCGAACTTGACGATGTTTGTTACAATGGCATGTACTATGACTTCACTTTTAGGAACCATAATGACCTTTTTCTCAATAACTGATGTCTGTCCACAGCTAGGATCCGTGAGGGCGCTTTCTCTTAGATTCTGTAAGATGGAGTCTTTATCATCTTTGAACACGTCTGCTGAAATCTGCGAAGATAGAATCAAACATTATAATCACCCCTCGGGGCAATCAGTACAACAACATACCCAGTGTGATCCCACAATAGGTCTAAGGGGGGTGGGCTGTACGCAGACCTCACTGAGACTGTTTACAATAAGACCCTCAACTTGAGAAAAGAATTCTAAAAACATGCAGAGACCAGTCACACAACATAATGATAAGCTAAAAGACAAATTATCTGACAGAGTCAGTTGCAGGATCCTTTTATCGAAAATGATCTGATTGATTGTTCTAGTGATGCCCACAACGTAGAGGGATGATGTGGGCTATGGGTAAATTATTGACTCAAAAGCGTTCGGGTCAAGTCCTACCAAAGTGCGGGTATCTTCTTCTCTAACTGTACCAATACAACGTCTTGCATGTTAATCAATCATTTGCTCCATCAATGAGCATTGCCCAGCATAATGGAGTCTCGCCTCTATATAGGCGATCAAACAGTCACCGGCTAAGAGAAGAATATCACCCAGCAAAGGACCTCAGAAGTGAAGAATGCCTTTAAACACAATCGACCATCTTATTCTTGGTAGCATGGCAGTAATCTAATCTATGCCACACAAACGAACATGATGGCATGAAAAACCAACATGGGAAATTTTTTTACCAAATAGTGCTGAAATAGTTTCGAGACTCTCAGCAAATTTACCAAGAGGTATACCAATTATAGTAGAAAAACCATGATGGCAAGGCCCAAGCCAAAGGAAAATGACAGTGGGACATAAAACAATGTCTAGAACATTGAGACTCTCTAGAAGATCTACACTCAATATTATAGAAGTTAGAACAAGCATGGTAGTTATCAATTTATCATCTTTCAGTTTCCACAAGGACAGTGGATGCTAGCATAGAATTGGCTAGGTGTCTTCTATCAATAAAAAATGAATATAGAAGCCATAAAAGTGTAATTTTCTATGCATTTATCTGAATAAAGTATTAGAACAACGTGGCCAGAGATTAACCAAATCAGTGATAATTCAAATGGAAAAAAAATTGTCTTCTCACCTTAAAATCAATAGGAATCATGATTTCAGCCGATGAGCACTTGCAACCATCACTGAAGTTCAATTTCATCATAATGTTAAAAGGATTTGTACTCTTAACTGTCCGCCTGACAAGGAATAGGAGTTGAATAAGAATGTCTCAGATTTGAGAGAGCTTATAACTTCAGTGAACATATGAAATAAACCCTCACCAATAACTAATAGGGAAAACTAGCATATACCGCTGAGATAAATTCAAACATGGGTAAGATTTCACCTTTACTTAGCTACGATTTTTTCCTCATCAATGACTTTGAGTTTAGCATACTGACTTTTTACATCAACTATAGTCTTCTTTTCTTTTCCTTTTTGGGCTAGAAAATGGAAACTGTTAAAATGATATTACCTCTCATTGTCCTTTTCTCATTGTATTACTTGTCCAATTTATATTTCTTTATTTTTCCATTTAAGTAGGTTAGATTATGACTAGGGTAATGATATGCAAACAAGAGAGGAACACATAAATGATTGTTAAAATTATTTTTTGGATGCTACAGTTTCGTTGACAATGAAAACATCTTTCTTTTCAAATATATCCATAAGCTGGAAAATGTGTGATCAAGATTGTCGGATAATCTAAACATCCTTTTCTACATGATATTTTGATGAATCAATTAGAAAATCTTGAATTACTAATACAAGAGCAAAATATTTTGAATATACGGAAGCAACTATGCCAGAGGAAAATGTATTACAAAGACTGAACAAGATTATATTTCACATTCAACATAGCAAGTTTCAAGTTATAAAACTACCTTTTCAGATAAAGAGGTTGTTTATCCAGGACAGCCGCTTTCATGTTTTGACTTTCTGAAAAAGAAACCTACAGTTCCATTTCAAAAGAAGCAAAGCTGTTACCATAACAGATCCAGAATGTTTATGAAGGCTAAGGACTAGTACTGATGACAATAATTTACTGAAGGAAAAGAAATACAGGATATTTCACTGTTTTGCAAATGAGACAAGTAACGAGCATCGTAACAAACATCTTCCGTTAGCATAGTTTTTTTGTAGCAACAGGATCTCACAGTCAACTTCTTTGTATTTTTTGTTCCTTATGCATCTTCTTGATGCCTTCTTAATGATAACATGTTACTTCATCCCAAAAAGAAAAGGTCAAAAAGGTCTAAGCTACTCACAGTCAGCACAAAAAGTAATTGCTTCACTCAATCGACAGAAAAAACTGAGGTAAGTTGAAGTAGCATCAACACTTTTACAGTAGGACTATTCACACTCGCTTTTACTTGCCACGTCCCTGCTCACATTTTTAGAGCCCATTTATCATTGTCATACGGGGGTATGTTGTTGTTATCATTGTCATCTCTTGGCTCATATGGTACCAGAACAGATTCCGAAAGCCTTGGATCTGCATACCTCAAACAAGAGATACACAGGATAGGTGAACAGAGCCATAGGT